CTGCACTCCAGCCTGGGCGACAGAGCGAGACTCTGTCTCAAAAAAGAAAAAAAAAATAGAGTCTCAGCTTTTTTAGGATGTATACAACATTTTGTCAGTTTTCTGGAATTGATATCCCTTCATTTGCTGCTTGCTCCTAGGGTCATTTCCAGGGGCTTTGAATTATTGTTTTATAATTTTCACTTCACCGGGAAGTGGGTCAGCTGAGCACCTCACACAGTCATGGCAGAGATCAGTCTCAGGACCTTTGCATATTCATTCCCAAAACAAAATTGACGTAGAGGGCAAGACTCTTAAGCCTTGATATTATATTAATGTTTTTGTCATATCCTGTATCGGCTTGTTAGAAAAGATTAGCATAGCTTACTTAAAGTTTTCTTGGTGAAGCTATGTATTTGGTCATTGTTTGGATGGGTAACATGCATTAGTTCCTATTAATTTGAGAATATGGATGTGTCAGTCATTTTAGAGATGTACAGCTGTTCCTTGGTATCCATGGAGTATTGGTTCCAGGACCACTTGTGGATACCAAAATCTGAGGATACTCAAAAGTCTCTGATATAAAATGGCATAATATTTGCATGTAACCTATGCACATCCTCCTGTACACTTTAAATCATCTCTAGATTACTTATATCTAATACAGCATAAATGCTATGTAAGTAATTGTTATTCTGTATTATTTAGGGAATAATGACAAGGAAAAAGTCTGTACTTGTTCCATACAGACACAACCATCATGGATCTAACTATGTTTTCAATGTGCAATTAGTTGAACCCACAGAACCTGTGGATACAGAGGGCAGACTATATATGCTGCACCTGTCTGAGAAAAATATGTATCTTATGCCTATTTTACACACACACACACACACACACACACACACACACGTGCGCGCGTAAAAACTATGCATATTTAGTTGCAAAAAAAAGACAAGATAGTCTTTTGTCTGATCAATGTTAAGCCATTTGGGGAAGGTTATAATCTACTGTATTATCTCTTCTCAAAAGTTAAAATTGGATTAAAAGTTAATTTTATTTCTGAAATTCTTTAATATTTATTCTTTGAGTGACTTATGGGTTTTTTAGTGGTTTCCAGAACCTTTGTTTAAAATCATTAGTTGTTTATTTCTTAAAGTCATTGAAAGTAGTAAAAGCAGTAGCTTAAAGTCAGTTTATTTTGAGGAATAGCTCAAAGTAGAAATATTTTTATAGTGTTGGAAAATTAATTACAGGCAGTAGGGTGTGTTGGAGAGTTAAAATTGGACTTTAGTCCTGATTTCATTGTAACTATAGGGTAACATTGAAGAAGTCATTTTATTTGGATTCCAGTTTCTGTTTTTGTGAAATCAAGGAGGTAGATTAGTAGTAGGATTTAATTAACTCTTACTAGACACTCTAAGGTGTATCTCTCCTCCACATTAAACTTTTTTCATTCTAATCTAACAACAAGGTAAATTAATGATTTAGATAAACTAAGCTATGTCCTTTATTGGGAACAAGCTCAGAGATTTAACAATATTCAAAGAAGATTAAATTCATGCATACCGTGTTAGAAGTGACCTTTTATCCTTTTATGGAAGTAATGTTTGGTGACTTACGAAGAGGAGAAAAACCGTTTGTTTACACACATATGAGCTATTCTTTTCTCTCTCATGTATATAATTCTAGCCTTTTTAAAAAACCAATTGAGTCATTTCTCATATATGCTTCTCCAAGAGTAAGTAAATACTAATAATAGATATGCTTTACATTTATTTGCTTTTGTAAAAATCATGCTTACTATATAATTATCTTAAACTTGAAAAAGGTATTATGCCTTTTTTTTTTTTTTTTTAAGAAAAGGAATGCTAGCCAGGAGCAGTGACTCACACCTATGATCCTAACACTTTGGGAGGCAGAGGTGGGAGGATTGCTTGAGGCTAGGAGTTTAAGACCAGTCTGGGCAGCATAGCAAGACCCTGTCCCTGCAATAAAAAAAAAAGAAAAACTAACTGGATGTAGTGGCACATGCCTATAGGCCCCAACTATTCACGAGG